ATGATGATGGTACAGTAAAATAAATGAATGATCTTGGTTTTTACTGTTACAGAAACCTTTCATGAATTATTTACATGTTTTTAAAATTAAAGTACATAACAGTACTTAAATAAAAAATGTGAAAATGCATAAATGGAAAAATAAGAATGCAAAATGTGCAATTCAAAGGCAAACATAAAAGTATGAATGCAACATGAAAAATGCAAAGATGCAAAATGAAAATGCATATATGAAAAAGGTGTTACTCAAGAGTGATCATCTTAGAACAGATTTCATTGAACACAAAAGTCTCCGTGTATTAAACAAAACTTTTACATATAGGGGACAACTTTCAGTCCTAACTTCAACAAAACTTTACATATAGGGAATAACTTTCACTCCTAATTTCTCTATTTCACTTAAAAGCCAAACTAACTTCCACTCATACTCAGGTGTGGAATTATCCATCTGCTTTAATTCTATCGTGAAGCCAGCTAAGTCCACCAGCTTATGAGCCACATTGTTTGCTTGAGCAGCAGCTTCATTCATGATATTGTCTTTTTCCTTTATTCTCCATGTCGATTCTCGGAGTTGTAAACAATGTTGTTCATTTTTTGAGAAAATCTTCGTGGTTACAGAGTTCTCGTACAATATCTCCATAATCATCTAAATATTTCTTCAATGTCTTGTTCTTTTCGATAATGGCTTTTAATTCAGTATCAACCTCATGCTGATAGATCTGATATGATGCTTCCATGTTAGTCATAGCACTATTCAACCTTTGATTTTCGACTTGACATCTTTTCAATTCACTGACAAACGTATTGCGTATTTCTTCTGCAACTCGTAAATCATGATAAAACTTCTTTGCTCGACCTTCATGTATGTTACAATTCTTTTTCAGTTTGGTGACCCCTTTGATCCACTCTTCTGGGGTACTTCCTATGCCAGCATTTTGAAAGGTTTGACTGACCTTCTGGAAATCTTCCTGCATGGTTTCCATTTTGGTGCTTAATTCATTGTTTTTCTCCTTCAAATGATGTATTTGAACTTCGAATCTAAGCAACTCTTCTTCTCTCTGGGCGCCCATACTGATATTCTTACCTTTGAAGACTTTTGGTATTAATCTATCAGGACCCTTGGTTACTAAACTAGGTCGATCATTTACCATAAATTGTAAGGTTCCATGATCCAAAAGACTTTGGACTCGGCGTTTGAAGGCAAGACACTTCTCGATGGTATGTCCTTGAGCTCCGGCATGATATTCACAATGAGCGTTGATGTCATACCAATTTGGATACGGAGGTTGGAATGGTTTTATGTAATATGGAGCTATTTCTCGTGCTTCAAGTAACTTTTCATACAACTCTTTATATGATATAGGTATGGCATCAACATGAGAACCGCCTTTTGTTTTGGATTGAACCTGAGTTTTAGATTCTAGGAGCAGACTAAACTTTGATAATTTCAGGTTACATGATTTCTTCTCATATTTGGGAGCTTTTACAGTGTTCATCATTTCTTTGGTATCTCCAGACGATTTGTGAATACAAATGATGATTGTCTGCAACTTCTCAAATTGGTTAGGATCAGAAGTCCCTTGCATATCTGAAATTGCAGGATTATCTTCATTAAGCTTTCTCGCTTTCTGTGCAGGAATCTCTTCTCTTTTGGCCAAAACAGATATTCTATCCATCATCTTGGACATCTGCTCTCTTATTTCTTGTATCTCCTTTTGCTCCTTAATGGACACATGATCTCTAGGTGTATAGCTCTCTTCTATCATTGGAGTTCCCTCGGGATGTCTTTTCTTGGCCGCATCATATTTTGTTTGATCATAAAACTTTTTGTCCATTTACGATTTCTTTCCAATATGATGAATAATCTTTCAAGTCAACACCTTTTGATTATGCCATGACCATGCAATGCAAACAAAAGAAATCAATATGAACAAGTTAAAACAAAACAAAATGTATGAAAAATAAAAATGAGAAAGGAAATAAATAAATTGGTAAGTACTAATTAATGAAAATAAAATATTCTACATATCGTGGTATATAATATATCCTAACCTCATGCTTTCTAGTTCCATGCTTTGATTGGAAAAATTAACCTAACAACATGATTACTAATTCGCATGCATTTATTCAGGAAAAAGAAAATGAAATAAATTAAAAGCTAGAGCTTATTTCTCCTTTGTGTATACCTATGAACAGAGGTTCAATATTGTCTTATATCAGGTGAATTTCTAGGGTTTATTATATGCGGAGTTTCAGTTCTAAGAGTAAAGGTACTCGAACTGTCCTTGTTGATGCCCCCTTGGGCTGCCAACCCTCAATCCTAGTCCATTACAGACTTAAGCGGATTGAGTTCAATTCGAGGGGACACATTTCTCTATGCCTGACACGGAGAATAAATTCTCACGAAGACATAGAGCATATGAACCTCGAAAGTTACTTGCTAGGTCTGACACGGAGAATAAATTCTCACGAAGACGTCGCTTTCACTCCCACTTAAAAGGGACAAACTCAATTATAGAGTTTTATGTTATGCAATGCAAGTGTTGTGTGTGAGGAGAAATGTTCAAACCTCTAACAGATAAATAAAATAATTAATACCTGAATAAAAAAATATTAATATAAAAATAATAAATAATAAAAAATTGAAAGAAAATAATTAAAAATTAAATAAATGAATTTTTAATTTCTAATTAATAGAGACAATTTATAATTGATTTTAAAGTTTGACAGGTCCCCAGCGGAGTCGCCAAGCTGTCGTAACCGGTTTTCGTCCGGGCACGAATTTATTTATTTGACGGGAAAATTGATGTGAATAAATGGTTTTGAAAATAATTTGGGAGTCGCCATCGGCCTTTTGGGTCAGGTAGGTCGAATACCTAAAAATTATTTTTTAAAAGAGTTTTAAGAAAACATCAATTAAAAAATGAACTGATCTACGTTTATAACCAAAAATTCGTTCTTTTTAATAATAAAAAGGGATTCGTGGTCGGTTACGTTTAGGGAAGAATTAGCACCCCTACAACGCCCAAAATTGATACTTTTTAATTATAAATTGTCTCTGTTATTAGAAATTTAAAAATTCAAAATGTATTTAATTTATAATCCTATTTAATTTAAATTTATTATTATAATTTTAAGAAAATATATTAATATATATATCTTTATTTTTATAAATAAGATATTTATTTATTTAGAAATATCAGAAAAGGGCTTCTAGTTGCTTTAAGACAGCTCATTTCTTAATATTAATAAATAAATAAATGTTAATAAAACATTTATCTAAAAATAATTAAAATATATTAATATATGATTTATAAAAATAGGACATTTATTTATTTAATAATATCAGAAAAGGACTTCTAGGTATTTTAAGACAGCTCTTTTCTTAGATATTAAAAAATAAATACATATCAAAATATGTTTATTTTTCTTAAAAGTAATTTATAAAATTAAATTTATAAATAGGATTTTTATTTAATAAACAAATAGAATAAATAAATAAATATTATATATATATTTATATAACTTAATAATAAAATTATCATGAAGATAAAAATTTAAACATATATCAAAAGTAATAATAAAATAAAATAATAATAATTAAAATTAAAAGTAATAATATTAAAAACTAATGGATCATATTTATAAATATATGAACTTAAAAATGTAAAAATAATAAAACTTATAGTTAAAATTAAGATTATATAAAATTTAATGATCAAATTATAAAAATATAAAATATTTAAGAGACATGATTAGAATTATCCTAAAATATAAATACTAGTAGTAATTAACCATTATTTATTTAATCGATGATAAAAATAGAAATATTAAAATTATTAGGGACTAGATGTGATATTTATCCTAAATATATTATTTAATACTGGTAAGGATTAAAACATAATAAAATAAAATTCGAAGACTAAATTAAAACATTCATAAGTTAGTTTCAGTGACTAAAATGAATAATTACAAAACACAGATGGCTACTGAAAGGGTTTAGCCATACATGTAAATTACGCATATACCCCTTCCCAAAACGATGTCGTTCGGGAAGGGGTATATATACCCCTTTATAGCTGGCCCGAAGGGCCAGCAGCCTCATTATTCTCTTCTTCTTCTTCTCTCAAAAACGAGAGAAGAAGAAGCTCTCTCGTCCTTCTCTCTTAATTCCCTCACCGGAGGGAATTCCGGCGTCGATAGCCACCGCCAACCTCACCGCCGGCCACCGTCTCCGGTGGCCGGAAAATAAAACTTTATACCACAATGTAGATCGGATCGTCCTAATGACGATTCCGATATTTGTTTACCTTAAAAAGCTCCCAATCAGAGCAAATCTATGAAAATGCCTTCGGTTTTCGAAGGTTTGTTGTGGAGCGTGGAGGTGCGTGGTTACTCCGGTGGTGGTGTGGCTTTCCTCGGTAAGGTTTCTTTCGATTTTTATCTCGTTATTTTGGTGTTTGATGGTGGCTGGATTGCTTGCTGTTGGTGTTGTTGTCTCCCGTATGCTGGCTGTCCTCCCTCTTTCTCTTTGCAGGTGTGGTGGCTTTTATAGCCACCACCGAGGCTCTCGTCGGACCGGTCCTAGAGATGATTTCTAGTGAGTCACCGAACCTGTGGTGACTCACCGAAGAACGGGATGCGTGGACGGCTGGAAGGACTCCTCTGGGAGCTTCGATGGGCGTCGTGGCAGTGAGGTAGCGACGTGGAGCGGCTGACCGTTGGCAGTGGCTGGTTGGAGCACTTGGCAGTAGGGGGATGAGGCAATGGTAGAGGCGGTCTGGAAGCAACGACGGCTGGGGCTAGGGTTAGAAAACCCTAGCTGATATGTTACAAACCCTAAAGGGTTTGGGTCATCTGTTTTGGGCCATTTCTGATCTGGCCTGGTTGTAATCGGGCCTCATTTTTGGGTTTGTAATATTTATAATAATAATATATATATAAATATAAATAATAATAATAATATTTATAATAATAATAATAATTTAAGTAAAATAAAAATTAGTGTCTACAGACTTCATGCACTTCATCAAAGTGAGGGTTTGTAGCACTTCTTGTATTCTCGATCCACCGCTGGACTTTCTTGTGTGGACCCAAAAACCTAGCACGATCCTTCTCATCCAAAACCTACATCCAATGAACTCTAATCAAATTTCATAATCTTTCTTAGTCTATTGACAATGCTAATACAATCCTTCTCATCCAAAACCTACATCCAATAAACTCTAATCAAATTTCATAATCTTTCTTAGTCTATTGTCAATGTTATAATACATACACTCTGCAGACGCAATTGCTCGAACACGAGTCCTCTAAGGATAATAATATTCTATTTTACCACTGAGATTAGTCAATGGAACATATTTTATGATGCTTATAAAGGATATGGCCCTAAAAAGTGCATGGAAAATCCAAGAAAAAGTTCAGTTGCTCCTGTAGCTGAGCTTATCACAATGATGAGGGGTTGTGCAAGACCGTCATAAAGGAAAGACGAATTTTTTTTTGGGGGGGGGGGAACCTGAACCTATATCATAGAATTGAAATGTGAACAAAAACATCAAGGAACAAAAATGTACCTCGAGTTCCATTATTTCACAGACGAGGCTAAGATCTGCTATGGATGGCTGGTTTCCACCTAGCAAAAAACGTCCAGCATCCTTGAGCCAAAAGGACTCTAACTTTGAAAGAGACGACGACAGAAGTGTCTCAGCTTCAGCAGCTGCTTGGGGATTCAATGGACGGCCAACTACAGGTGCTATTGTAGCATTGGAAACATATGTGTCTGAAAACAGAATCATCGAGTTCAAAAGACATATCTAACCAAGGAAGGGAACATTTATGTGCATAACCAGATAGACAAGCATACGCGATGAAGGTGACAAAACCACATAGATAAAGCAAGTTTGAGTTTAAATAAAAAGTCAAGCACAATCTTTTAGTGATGTGAGAGGTTCCAAAAGAAAGAATGGAAGAAAATTTAGCATCCCTGATACTCTTCTATTGTAATTAAGGAAAACTGCACAAATCTGATGCTTGAAAAGCCTACCTAGAGAAAATGCTGTTACTGTTATCGCATTGACCCAGAAGGGTTAACAAAATGTCAAAACACGAGACTGCTAGCAATATGATTCTACACCATCAATAAAAATTCACTAATCATTTGTAACAGTTTGATTCTTTTCAGGGTTAATTATACACCTGCACCACGGCGTAAGTTGGAGTGATGCCAATCCAACACCGAATGTATCCTACTTCTCTTGGCAACATCAGCTGGATACCTTAAAACATGGACAAGCAAGTTTGTTAACAATGAAGTTGCAGATTCAAACTGAATGTGAAATGTGCCAAAATATACCGATAATCCTTTCATTAGAACAGCACAAGTTTGAGTAAAACAGTAAAATAGATAGATATCAGCATGTAAGTTGGTCATGTCATAAGATCCTTCCAGCATTATCACCATATAACACAAGCCATGAACATCATGCTTAAGTTGTTCGACGATCCATGTGAAAATAGTAACGTATCACCATAAATATATATAATTGTATACAGACACTGGGCAAGGAACTCCAACAAATAAGCACCGAAGAAATTCAATATAAAAAACACTATCCTAGCCTCCTATATTGTCCAAAACATTATGTAACATAGAATGTAAGACAAAAGAGAAAGCAACTGTACTTACCAATGGTCTGCAACTCCAGGAAATGCACAAGCAAGATAGATCAAAATGGCATGGCTGCAAAATATAGATAGAGTAAATTTGTAGGAAACCTTTGAAATAAGGGGAAAAAGCATGGGGGTAAGTGCAATACTCTTCAAATACCTCTCAAACAACTTAAATCTTCCATCAACGATGGCTGGCAGCCGTTTCATGGGATTTATTTCTGCAACAGAACCATAGGAATACAAATTGAACATGTTATATCTACTTTCCTATAAAATGCGAAATTTAGAAAATAATTTGATAACAACAATTTAATTGATTATAATTTGAATGGGTATATTAATCAAGAATAAAAGAATACCTGCAAATTCAGAAGTTAAATGCTGACCCTTTGAGATAAGTACTTTGATCTCCTCATAGTCTATAACATTCACCCTAGTTTAAAAAAAATATTTTAAAAAGTAGAGAAAAACCCAGATAATAGTTGAAAACAAGTAAAAGAATCGAAATTTACTTGCAGAAGATGATGACAGCGCGAGATGGCTGAGACATTCGATCTGCGTATACTTTGAGCTTCATTTTCTTGCCTTTGTTTACGCCTCTCTCCACATCTAGATTGACTACGGATAGCAAGTTGGCTCTTTGGCTTTATCAATTTTAAATTTCCTTCTCGAGGTCAAAAACATAAGCTTTATGGAAAGCGTCGTCGTATTCACCCTAGCTATTACATTGATAGTCTCCCTAATCTCATTGGCGGCCTCGTTTCAGCTTTCGGAATTTGGACCCCTCACCAGTTAGGAAAGGAAGTAAATATCCTCCTCAAAGTTATATTTTTGTAAGTAGTTAAAAGTTCAATCTTTATCTTCCTTTTCGGTGCTTTTTGATTCATTTCCCACCTTTCCTTTTATTATTATCCAAGTGTTTGCATCAATAAATTTGCGTCCTTTTAGTCTGGTTAGTTGACAATGGGAGTTCTACATCTGCAGTTAAATTCGTTAATTGGAAGTTGCTTTAGCCATACTTAACTTCTGAAATTGTTTGATTTGTCTCAGCTTCACCCAATTCTGGAATTGCAGTGTTCAAATCAGAGGCTTAAAGAAGATGGAAGTAAACAAGGAGAAGTATGCTGCTGATCTCTCCTCTATCAAAGAAGCACGGGCACGTATCAGTTCTTTCATACACAAAACTCCAGTTATGACCTCGGAGTCTCTGGATGCCATTTCTGGCAGGAAGCTATTCTTTAAATGTGAATGTTTCCAAAAGGGGTAAGAAACTAGTAGTTTATTATGGTACATGGGAATCATTTGTTTCATGTTTTGATCTTATTTTTTTTCAATTTTAAGACTCTCCTATATATTGCCTTGACAGGGGAGCATTCAAATTCAGAGGTGCTTGCAATGCTATATTTTCACTTGCTGACCAGCAGGCTGCTAAGGGAGTTGTAACTCATAGCAGGTTAAGAGTTTATCTATGATGATCTATGTTGCCCTTCATCAGTCATCTTCATATGTTTCGTTTCCATTTCTATTTACTTGGATTTGACCTGATCACATTCTTCAAAATTAGTGGTAACCATGCTGCAGCATTGGCGTTGGCTGCAAAGTTACGCGGGATCACCGCGTACGTAGTTATACCAAAAAATGCTCCGCAATGCAAAGTTCAAAACGTTTTGCGTTACGGTGGTCGGGTTATATGGAGTGACGCAACGGTGCAGTCAAGGGAAGAAACTGCAGCCAAAGTGTTGCAGGAAACCGGGGCTGCTCTTATACATCCATATAATGATGGGCGGATTATAAGGTGGTACATTGAACAGTTCTAAGCTCTGAATGCTATAGTTTAATGTTTTATTGGTGAATTAAATGCTACGAAATCTTTTTCAGTGGGCAAGGTACCATATCCCTGGAGCTTTTGGAGCAAGCCCCTCAGTTAGACACTATAATTGTTCCCATAAGTGGTTTGTGTTGCAGCCTTTTTTTTCTTTCAAGTTTATGGTTATTAGTCCTGCATGATCATCATTCATCACCTCCCGTCTTTTATTATTGTTAATTTTCAGGAGGTGGCTTGATATCAGGGGTGGCATTGGCTGCCAAATCTATCAATCCTGCCATTCGAATTTTGGCTGCTGAACCAAAGGGAGCAAATGATGCTGCTCAATCAAAAGCTGCTGGTACAATTGTAACCTTACCCGAAACAAATACAGTTGCTGATGGCCTGAGAGCTTTCCTTGGTGAACTCACCTGGTAAATGCATATCAATAGTGTCTTATTGATGAGTGAAGAATATATTCCCAGTTTGTACATGTTTTCTTTTGTATTAGTGCACTGTATAGTCGCTTTCTTTTATCAGGAACTATACGTATTTACTTGTTAGTCTACAAGATTCAGTATGACTCATTCTATGCCTTTTGATCGATTAGGCCTGTAGTACGTGATCTTGTTGATGACATAATAACAGTGGATGATACGGAAATAATCGATGCAATGAGACTCTGCTATGAGATTCTTAAAGTTGCAGTTGAACCAAGTGGAGCCATAGGCCTTGCAGCTGTCTTATCTGATAGCTTCAGGAGCAACCCTGCCTGGAAGGACTGCAACCGAATAGGAATTATACTTTCAGGAGGTAATCTAGATCTAGAAGTGCTGTGGGATTCATTTAGAAAATGAAGGTTACATTGGTATTGCTACTCTTTTGGAAACATTTTATTTCCCCCCTTAAACTTGAGCTTTGACCTCTAAATGCTTATATGAAATCCAATTGCTTTGGTTGCAATTTTTAGTCCTAGAGTTCTCAATTTTACATAACCCTTTAAAGAGCTTCCCTTCCTTGAAACTGGTGAAGTCTGATAGTGACTGTAAATCAAGAGAAAATTAACGATCCAAACACCAGAAACAGGTCATTCATGGGGGGAGGATAAACAGAATTTCACATACACAAGATATCCAAATATCCTACAGGCTGCAAGAACAAAGGGGAAGCTTATTCGCCTCCTCTTCTCCTACTCCTCCTCCCCATTTGATCGAATGCATGAATATAGCATAGCTGGAATCACTACTTTATTTATCTATAGTGCCTTATGAATTGATGGATCATTCTCGGTTGTAATCGAACAATCGAACTGCAGTCAACCGGAATAATGCACTTGAGCCAAGTTGATTTGATCTATTTTCCTTCTCACCGTCTCACCGAAAGATTCTATATAATGATTCTCTTTCGTTCAGCCATGTGTATCATAAAACCAGACATAAACCCGAAATAGAGCTGTCTAGATTCAGTATAAAAAGAAAACAACAATTCAGGCATCAACTATTGCTTGTTGAGACTTTCCCAATAACCTTTCTCCCACTTTTTCACTTGCAATATTGAGTTGTTTTTTCTTCTAAGAAACGCTGCAACAGCTCGAGGGTCATAAGGAGGAAGCAAGGTGCATGGATTCGTGATGGAAGGACCTTTCACCAATGATTCCATCATGAATTTCTTCTTTCGCCCTTGTAGCCCTTCTGCGTGACATGCCATTACCTCCGAGCACAACTCCGTGGCACCTTCGGGTACTCTCGGCTCAAATTTCAACAACGTAGCGTACTCATTTAACAAATGATACATATAATCATAAACGTAGTCCGTTTTTAGCTGCTCCTGCATAAAGCTACTGGCTGCTTTTCCAATTTCATGTGCCTGCCAAATACAGTAATATATTGTATCAGATTTAACAAAGGCCTCGCCGAAATACCAAGATCAAATAATTTAAACAATTTGAAGGGTAAACTAATCCAAATGTATTAAATTTTAAGTTTTGTATCGATTTTAACATGGAACTTTAAAATGTTTCAATTTTAACATTTAATTTTACCGTTAAATTATTAACAATGTGATGACGTTAACGTTTTTTTTTCTCTTGTGAACTTTGGTTATTGTATTGATTTTATCACTAAACTTTAAAACACTTCATTTTTAGACATTGAACTTTAATTTACATATCATTTTGGTCTCTACAGACAATCATCAACTCCTTCAGTCGACAGTGTCAATCAATTGTCGCCCGTCACCGGTCGTCATTCACAACAAAAGCAATACTAAAACGTTTGCATTTCACTTTTTATTTTTTCGAATTGATTTTTCACGAAACTCATTTAAAATTGAAAAATAATCTATTCAAAATTTTGAGTTCTAATACTTTGATTTCCTCCTACGACTATTCAATAAAACTAGTTTCGAGATAAATTGTTCGTCTTCTCCAAAAAAAAAATACTTCTCTATCATTAGAATTTGCAAACAAACATTCAAAATCACTCAACTGAGAAAGTTCAAAACCTAAAAAAAATAATTGTGTTTAAATTTGTGAATTTTGAAGAGGTTTAGAAAGAAATCTAAATCAATAAAATAGTAGAAGACGATGTGATGAATTCATCAGTGGCTAAGGTAGTTGCAAAAGATGCCAAAGAATGATGATTTTCGATGATAGCTAAAAATAAGTGGAAAAAATCCTCACTTTGATAAAGAAGATGAGGTGGAATAAAAAAATAATTTTTTGACTTCTAAGTCCACGTCAAACTATAAAGTCATCCGATTGTTAATGAGTTAACGGCCTAATAGTTACATTGAACTCAAAATTAAAGTTTAATGATAAAATTGATATAAATCCTAAAATTCAGTGACATTTAGAATAGTTTACCTTAATTTAAAATTAAAGACGGTTGATACCTTCTTTTTGTTATTGTTGCCCCAATCCACGGCAAACTTAAGTGATCTGCATTTGTCATCATCTCTTATAGGCCAATAGTGCTCCACAGGCTGCATGCTTCTCATGAAGAAATCATAGAACTGAGGTTGTACCATAAATGTGACAGAATCACAGGCGAGAATGTATTTCTCGCTAACAGACCATGCATATCCTTCAATGTATATCTTGTACCTGCAAAAACCATGACTGTGCTGAACAACAGAAAAACAAAAAATTACAAATGCTGTTAGAACCGGAGCCAAAATATTTACCTATACGTGCATTGATCGGCAACGTTGGATTGTTTAAAACCTTGTTGGCCTTCAAGGATCCAGTCCTGCAAACCAGGACTTAATTCCAGAATTGTTTTAACAAAAAGATCAAAGGGTTTATTCCAAGAATTCTCATTTTGATTTCCACCTGGATGAACAAGCGTGCATTCCAGTCTTGTTGATCAGTGACATTGCATTTAAGTAGGTCCTGCCTATTGTCAGCGACAAATGGATTGCCCTTCCAGTACGCATATGGTTCCCTATCTATCCATTTGATCTTATTATTTCCCTGTTTAATATCTTTCAGTATGCTGTCCCATGGCTTTATATTTATCTCAGCCCTGAAGGAGACACATAAAGAATATAATTAGGTATCATAGTGCTATCACATGCAGAAAAATGATAGACCACTTGTCAGTGAACAAGGGACCCTCTAGCAACATGCAAACCAGAACTACATGGGCAGGCCATTAATTACATCTGGCATTTGGTTTACATTTAGAGCTGACAGGTGTGTATTATACCATGCATGCAGATGCCAACAAAAGTTTCAAAGAGAGAAACAATGGTGGCGCGGTTGTAAATTTGAAAAAACGGAAGCTTTACCATCCCCAAAAGGACCAATCAGGGAAGACTATATTCAACGTTTCTTTATCTCCACAGTAGCGAAACAATGGTGGTGGGGCTATTGCATTCGGTCCTCTGTAGTCCCTTGACTTGATAGCCGGTCGGTCTTCGGTGTCGAACATGATTTCCAGGTCCGGTAATACCCCGGGGTATTTACTGAGGAGTTGTTGAATGCCCCAGATGGTGAAAACATCTCTTGTTTGAATGGCTTGTCTATAGTTTTTAACGAAGGCTTTGCCCCCTTTGATTACGAGGTGAAACGTTGACGATCCTTTAGCTCTTTCCACCATGTCCTTGGTGATCCCCGATGTTTTCCAGGGACGTAAATCTTCGTGGATCCATCTAAAATAATCGGGACAAAGAGGATTTAATGAAGGATCAATGTCTTGTGTTTGGAATCTCTTGGGGTAATTCGTTGGACAGGTTTGTGTTTGGTTTTTACTGGCGGTACAGTTGAGTGGGATTTCATTTCTCTGTATGGGAGTTTTTGGTTTCTCAGATACTACCATGGTATTGGTTTTGTCCGCTGAATTCTCAATAAAAACCGCCGACTGCAGAAAAACAAAACAAAAACCTCAACTAAACATGAACTAAAAACTGCAGAATCTACCATGAAGCAAGAACAAGACGTATTTACAGTGTCAACACATGAAGAATATGTAGTTAAGGCAGCCATGAGGAAAACAGCCAAGACAAGAAGAGCTGCGGTTGTTGGAGGTTTTCTTTTCAATGGAGGCCGCCATGTTGGTTTCTCAAAGAACTGTCTAGCCAGTCCAGATCTCTGCAACATGGATTCTCGAGTTGAATAAGCTTGCTTCTAACACCGATCTATGAAGTTGAGTGAAGTAATTTCTTGTTGATGAAGGCAAAGAGGAAGGGTAGTAATCAAGTTCCAAGTGAAGTTTGTTAAAGATGAGTGTGGTTTAGCTAGTGGACAAAGGAGCAGTGCAGTGTATAATTGACAGCGTCATCCACGAGCAAGTGCCCGGCGGCTCGGAGTAATTGGAGGATAGTAGGGACCCCAAAGGAATTTCTATGTACTAAATTGCCAGACCTTCTACAATATCTCAAGACTTGCATCCCATTCTCTATTTTTAATAGTTTAGAAAATCCTTTAATTAGATTTTTCATTGATTTATGGAGTAATATTTTTGGAGTTAATCTCAACTACAATATCTAAGGAGTATGTGATTTGTTATTGCCAAATTCCATGGTTCGTACCTATATCAATGTATATGTGATTTGGTTATATTTAATTATTATATTTTTTAAATTTAAAGTTTCAATCGTAAGAGATAATATAATTAAATTTTATAAACTTAAATTATAAAATTAGAGAATAATAATTAGAATTAGATCTACAACTAATATATGATATAGAGGCTAATAATAATATAATTTAACAAAATTTCGTAGTTATTATAATAATTTAACCTTTGCTATTAAGGAATAGGTGATTTGTCGAATAGCTTCTGTTCAATATTCACAAAATATAAAGCATTTTCCAGAGAAAAAGCATTTAATTTTGAGTTTATAAATTTAAAAATTATATCAATTAAATTATTTAATATGTAATTTATTTTTGAGTTCATGAGCAAATAATTGTTGCTATAATAGAAGATTTAATTTTTTTTTAATGTTTAAACGTTTATTTAATCGTTAAGAAAAATAAAATACCATGGCACCTTGATCGATTTTTGGCATGATGCATGGTTGGGGGAGTTGGGACCTTTAATAAAACCATTTAACCTTGGATGGAGTAATTCCTCCAAAAGGTATATTTGTTTGCTCCCTAGTGAATCTGATGGGGAATGGAGGTAGGATTTGATTAAGAATTGCCTGCCGAATATGGTTTGTTCGTCCTCCATTACCCAGTAGTGGACCATTCCAGTGAGTGGGTAATAGGTTTCTCGAAGAATATTGGATGTTGTTCGCTCCCTGATGCTGAGTTGTGGGGAATTTTCATGGGACTCCATATTGCTTGGGAGAGGAGCTTGCGTAATATTGACAACAGGTCAGCGATGATTCCACACATCATGATTCTAGTCCAACGTGACTGGCGTTTACAATTTAACTACGTACCCCGGAAGAGCAATAAGGTGGCTGATGATCTTGCCAGATTGACGTGGAAGATCCCTGCTAAAGAATCCTTGCATGCTGAACCGCCAATGGAGGTACTAGAAATCCTTGCCAAGGATGCCCAAAGTCTGTTAGTTACGTAAAGGCTTTTAAGCCCCTTTGTATTTGAATTTTTTTTTTTTAGAAATTCCAAAAATATAAAATGAAATAATCAAGAAAATATTAAAAATATATAAAATATTTTTATGATCAATGTCATTATTCCTTAAACACATTTACAATTGATTCTACTTTAATTGTAACAACAATAATTTTCATTTTAAATAACAAGCATTAACCTATAATTCTCATCCCTTGTTGTAATATTTTGGGAAATTCTTTAATTAAATTTTCATTAGGTTGTAATACATTGGTGTTAGTAAAATTATCATCCGATATCGCAAAAACAGGCGATTTGCAGAATAGTTTCAATTTGATATTGAAGTTATATTCACGTGGGAAAATTACCCAATTTCTCCAAACATTGGTAGCCATAAGTTCTGGTCCCGACGTAGACGGGCAGAGGAGTTGGCTTAAAATTAGTGTACTATTTGGCCCGTGGCTCCAAAGAGTCAGCAAAAGACAGCAACATATTCGCTGTCTTGTTACTGCAATGTTGTTCTATGATTCATATGTCCATTGAGTGTCGGTTGGATTGCAAATAACTTTACAGCTAGCCGGGCTGAAGTTAGACCGCTAAAAATGAAGAAAAAGAAAATCTATTAGTCCCTTAAGAAATAGTCAAATTATAAATTAATTTCTGTAAATTTATTGTTTCATTTTGATCCTGAAAGTGCTTGAAAAAGTGGGATGCTTTCAATATTCTTCTTTCTAATATAAAAAAGGTCGAGTCATTGTTCATAGTGGCTGATGCAAGCAATTGTTACAGCAGTTGTCCATATAAATATGCAGCATCCTTGACGACCCTTCCTCTCTTTAAAGGCTGATTTCATTGAGCTGTAACTTGTTTTTGTCTTGCTCAAATGGCGGCACGGGTACTTTGATTTCGCTTTTCTATATGTTCTCATCAGAAATATTTATGTTAACTTTTAGTCTTGATTTGCAGAAGGTGGTAGTGAAAATCATGACCATGAATGATGAAAAGACAAAGAAGAAAGCTATAGAGGCTGTTTCCGACATATATGGTATGGTATACTCAATCAACAGACCCTTTTTTTTCTCTAATTTTATTTGGTGAAACATCTAGTTTCTGACGTGGGATTTTGATGAACAGGCGTTGATTCAATAGCGGCGGATGTGAAGGAGCAGAAGCTGACAGTCATAGGAGAGATGGACACGGTTGCCATTGCCAAAAAGCTCAAGAAAATAGGGAAAGTGGATATTGTCACCGTGGGACCTGCTAAAGAAGAAAAGAAAGATGACAAAAAAGACGACAAGAAAGATGAAAAGAAAAACGAAAAGAAGGATGAAAAGAAATGATCGTTTGAATTTGATTGAAGTTTGTGTTGTTTGCATATCCTTTAGCTTAGCTACATAATTAAACATGGTAATAATACGGTATTTACTGTCGTGCTTGATTCTTCGTTTCATTCGCTGTTTCTTCCAGAACTAAGAACACAAGCATGCAGAAATGACAAATTAAGAGCAGCCTTATTTGGGCCACTATGCATCATCCAATAACAGGAAAGCATCAATCCTGCATCATGATTTTACATTAAATTATTATCTTAAAGCTCACAGTTTGATGATGGTCGATAGAAAAAGAAAACATTTAAATAATGATAAAGATGCTGCTGATGCGATGGACCTAACTTAGTTCCAAGGTCAGCATGGCTGCAGAAATTCAGTTGCAGACAAATTTTTGGCATCAGCTTAGGGAATAAAGAGAATATAAAAATGGTGAAACATGCCTGGAATCCATTTTAGATTGCTCTGCATTCCACTATCTTTTTGTTTGAATCTGAAACTACAAACTTGTCACTATCGGCAATATGCATTAAAGTCATCAACTTTCTTCTTCTTCTTCTAGATTACCTTCTTTGGATCTAAAGAATAGTAAGTACAAAGTACAAAAGAAGGGGAATAACGACGTTGACTAGCCAAGCATAGAAAAAAAAATGTCATCATTCTAGAGCTCTTAGAAAAAAAATCATAACATTTCTTTTAAACTATGAGTCCCAAATTTTAGGAGCCTATGATGTATCACATATCACACTTGGGTCGCTCAAAGTCGGAGTCACCATGATTGGGATAAGCGCAGTGTTGGCATTCCTCTCTCTTTTTGGATTTCTGGTGTTGGCAAGCTGCACACATCCAATCCCCCCTGTCCAGCTCATTTTGATCTTTGGTAAATCAATAATGATTTAATGCACTCTTTTTCTACTTCTATTGTCGAAAAGAATTAACTGGGCACACTTTTTGTCAAGCCCCAAAATTATGGTTAGACATTTGGTTGTAGTGGTTCAGATCATTATTTGGCTAAAAATTGATGGGGCTTAAATTGAGGAAATTTGAAAATTTGGAATTTGAGCTTGATATGAAACTAAAAGGATAAAAATCAGAACTTTTATAATTTTGGGGTAAACTAGCATTTTTTTGATAGCTTGGGGTCAAAATAAGAATTCTAAAAAGTGTAAGGTAAATTATTGATTTTCTGGAAAGTTATATGCCCAAAACTGTAACCCTAGAAAGCTTGTAGTCATGCCCTTTAATTAACCCTATGAGATTCGTGGCATATAAAAAAGTAAGCATGCGTATAACCTAAATGCACAATCGTATTGAACAGCAACAACAAAGTATAATGTGATTTCTCGAACCTCTAATTTACATAATGAATTATTAGTTTACAAAAATTTGTTTTGCCAATTATTATATAAATTATATCTTATTCTTTTTAATTATAATTTATAGTTCAGAAAGACAATAAATTATTAAAAACCAAATTCAAAATGTTTGTTCCGACGTTATGATTTAGGCAAGGTCAAACACTTCCATTTAGAAGTTATTAAATTATATTAACACGTTCTCTGGCAGTTCATTAATTAATTTAACTCAAATCTCGATCAGCGTAATCCTCGATATACAGTACTACTTAATTAAAAGACCAGAAATCTGCAGATTCCTAACTTAAGTAAGATCCTTGATTAGAAGTAATTACTTTCACAATGGACTGATGATAAATATTCTAAATAGAAAGAGTTATTTCGTAAGAGATTAACCTCAAGTTCAGTCGTTCAAAACTAGGTTTAATAAATAAAATATATGAATATTATCAATAATACACTTATAAGAAACTTCAACTACTGGGAGGAATTTAATAGATAGAGATATGCTCGAAATTGGTGACATCTTTGCCGTGTAAAGAACCCTATTCTGTTCAAAGGGCATGCTTTAAATGTGCATTCATACGTGTATATATATATATACACACACACAAGTATATATACGTATATAAATATTTTGTAGTTGACTCGTCTTCCTGGAACCTTCTGATGCAGATATGGTCCAAGAAAAAAGGAATATATACCTTTCTGGCATGCTTTAAAGTACACAAAAGATCAAATACTCCTTAAAATTTCCACAAGCTTAACATTTTCTTTTTAACTTTTTTCCACGTTGCATTTGTTTTTTTTTAATAATTAAAGTTACATGTTCCTGGGAGCATACATGTATATAAATAATCTATGGCTGCACTTTCTCAACATCATCTTCAAAGCTCAAGTTTACTCTCAATTTTCTTAGTTTCTCCTTTGATTTCCATTTCCATGGCTAATAAGGTTCACCCCCAAGCATCCATCTCCGATCCCAGCAGTGAGAGCTCTGCAACCGGAAGACGAACATTCACCGTATGGATGAAATCTCTTGTATGCCACACCAATGGCTGCACCGTTTTCAATTCGAAAGGTGAGATTGTATATCGAGTAGAAAACTACGACAGCAAAGGTAGCTGTGAAGTTCATCTCATGGACCTGCAAGGCAATGTTCTGTATACAATAATTAAAAAGGTACTGCATTTATATATAAAAAAATCTTAAGATTTCACAGTATTGTTCTTGTTTCTTTTTTCTGAAGATGAAAAACAATTTTACAGAAGCTGCAGATTTTTGGGTGTTGGAATGGATATAGAGTGAACTTAGGAGGAATAAAGAAGGAAAAGCCGTGGTTTAAAGTCCACAAATGGTGGAGTATTGTTCGGAGAGAATTGGCTTGTCAAGTTACTGTGGGCATTGATAAGTACTGGATAGTAAGGCTAGATAAAAAGAGCCAAGGGTTGAAGATAGTGAACTTAAATGGAGATATTATAGCAGAGGTAAGCACTAAAGTATCAAATTATGAATTGTGTTTAATTATATAGAAAGATATACCATAACTTTCAAACAATGATATGTTTTTTATATTTTTTGTCCGTATGAATAATTCACAGTGAACGGTAATGTGCAGGTGAAGCAAAAGCAAGTATCATCGGGGGTGGTATTAGGAGATGATGTATTAGCTTTGGAGGTTGAACCCTATATGGATCAAACCCTAATAGTTGCTCTCATCACCGTTTATGGATTGATGAATCGAAGATTGTAAATAATCAAGGACGAACGCAGAATAATCCGAATTTTTTTATTGTAGTTGTTGTATTTCGATTGGTATTAATTTTTTATTCTGGAAATTTTCCAGGTTAAATTTTTATTGAAGTGCAGCAGCAAATTCAATTGTATTTGAATGATATTAATTGCTAGCTAGGTGTGATTTGTGTCTTTTTTTTTAACATCTATTGTATTGTTTTATTACTTTATCTTGTAAACAAATTAATTATGAATATTTTTAAACTCAATTTTATGTTGTCTTCAAGAATTGGTTTCTCTCTCTTTTAACTTCTTTTACTTGAATAATTAATTATGAATATTTATTTCTACTCTTAGTCTCTTACTAAAACATTTAACATTGATGTCAAAAGTTAATTAAATTAAAGTTATAAATAATAACACTCACTACAACAACAAAAATTTAGCTGCGTTTCAGTCATATAGTGACGTTTTTAAGCGCCGCTAACAACCTTTGTGTGTAAAAACAAACACCGCTAAAGGTTATGTTTTTAGTAGCATTTTTATAAAATCACCACTAAAATACAAGTATTTACCGTGGTTTATTTAAAAAACACCGCTAAAACCGATTTGCTGTAGTGACTCCCAGTCCAGGATTAGGACATAATTAAACACCCAATTAGGATTTACATTGTAACTTATAGATTGCTTACCAAAAATGGTGGTGATAAGATTCGAACTTAATCTTATATATTCAAATTCTTAAAATCAACCGCTTCACATTTGATGTTAATATAATTTCGTTTATAGAATATATTTGTTTTCACGGCATCTGTCAATATATGCGATGGTAATCTTTTATAAAATTACTCTTTTTTTTACATATTCCTTATAAATTATTTTAAATTTAAAAACAAATATATGTTCATTCGGTAGATCAGTTCTTATTATTCTTTTGTACATATTAAATTAATTACATTTTATATTTTTATACAAATTATATATTTTACATTGTTATCATCATCATGTTTTCTTATTTTATATTTTCCCAAAAAATGAAAAATACACAATCCGCGTGAGCCACAGTTTGTAGTATATATATATATATAGGTTAAACTACGCATTTAATACTTAAACTATCAGTTTTGATCCGTTTTAGTTCTTAAACTTTCAATTTTTTCAAAACCATACACAAAGTTTAGTTTTTGTTTCATTTTAGTACCCCACAGTTAAGTTTTTTAAAAAAAATTGAAAGTCTAGGCACCAAAACACGTTTAATACCTAAATCATTCTTAAGTTTTGAAAAGAAACTGAAAATTTAAGTAGTAAAACGGATCAAAACCGATAGTTTAGGTACTAAACGCATTAAGTTTTTAACGACGGGTATTAAAATGAAACAAAAAGTAAACTTTGGTTATGATTTTGAAAAAATGAAAAGTTTAAGTACTAAAATGGACCAAAACTAATAATTTAAGTATTAAATGCATAATTTACCCTAATATTATATTTATATATATATATATATATGCAATGAGATCATAAGAAATCGAGAATACTTGTCATAATTGTTAAGTTTGGTGATTAATCATTTAAAATTTTAAGCTAATAATTAGTATATATTTAGTTTTAACAACCTTGTACGTATGTAACGCAAATGAATAAGCAATGAGTTTGCAAGTCAATGAAAAATTAGATGATAAAATTAGAGAAAATCAAGTGTACATGATGTATCCTAATTGAAAGATTAACGTTAAATTTCAAAATATTTTTTTAGGGTGAATAGATACAAATAAAATTTTAAGATGATCACAATTAATAAAATATGTAATTAATTTTTCTGAAAATTTTAAATTTCAAGGTATACATTTATTCATTTTAACTTAAAAAAGAACCAATCACTGTTAAAGGCGATAGATTAATTTAAATTATTTTATTTATCAATTAAATGAAAAATATGAAGAAAAAATATATTGCAATTGGTATATTTATTGGACCAAAAATAAAAGAAAATAAATTGGTATATAATTTAGAGTTGGGATACAAGGTCACCAATCTTGAAGCTTTGGTAGAATAAGCGTGGAAGAGCCAGTAAAGCTGCACTCACATGTGGAAGGCGCTCTTTTCTATCACACCTAAGACTTTAATTGAATATTTGTACTCGACATGGCCGTGGCTGTTGGAGCAAACTGCGCGAGCCCCCCAAAACATGGGTCCCAAAAAAATATATAGTGGCATTTTATTAATAAATGTCATTATAGATGAATTTATTACAATGTTTTTTTTATAAAAAAAACGTCACTATTATTATGGTTTTATTGATAAAACATCATTATAGATGAATTTTTTACGGCGTTTGTCAAGAAAACGCTACTATTATTACCCCGAAATCGAATATATCTAAAAAAATAGGGACCCTTTATACAAATTTGTACAAAGCCCCCGAAAACCCTGCCACGACCCTAGTACTCGAAATCCCAAATATCCTTTTTTTTATTAAAGAGAAAGATTCATAATAATAAAAAATTATACTCATGGTCATTTAATTATAGATGATTTTAATTTGATTATCAATTTTTGATTTTTATCAATTAGATCACTAAATTATTTAAATAATATCAATTTAATCACTTTCATCTAACATTTAACTGAAGAACTAAAGTAATAATTAATAAAATTGGCATAAATACATATTTTATCTTTAATATTTACACCTTTTATTAATTTGATCAAATTTTAATTTAATTTAATAAATTTAATCTTCTAATCACATGATGACACGTTGCCCTACGATCGAAAGTAAAATAGCTTGCAAAGAATAGTGGGAGAAGAATTCAAACCTCGAACTATTAGGAGAGTTTAGAGCGTGATTATCACTGAACCAAAGAACCAAACCCTATGTTAATGATATAATTTACAACATTATCGATGTAACTTATACTGTAATTAATGTCAGGAAGAAAAGAAAGAAAAGTAGTTGAGGTAGGATTCGAATACAGTCCAATTAGAGAAAATAAAAACACCTAGATTATTGAAGTAAATCTAATAGTTGATTTATAACTAGATAGATTTCATATATATTTTAAACTCTAATTGGTTTATAGTTTGATAAATTTCTGAAACTATTGTTATTTAATTTCATTAAAAGTATGTATTAAGTGTTCAGCTTGTGAGTCTTCATTAAGCAATAGTTGTCTCCAACATTTTGCTTGAAATTTGAAATTAGCTTAATTCTTATATTTCATTTGGAATGTAAGATTATTATTTAAGATTATTTTAAAATTTTAAATAGAAATTTTTATTCCAGAAATGTAAGATCACTCGACACTATAGTCCCTAAAGAGTATAAAAGAAGAACTAGATTTTCTTATGGAAAAAGAATAGCTAGTTTAGTTTATCAAAAAAATGAAATAATTATATTTATGGAAATGTTCATGAAAATATTTAAATGAAATTGTGAGAAGAAGAATCAAACATGAAAGGTATAAAGGAAAAAAAATAACCATGTATGGAAACGACTAGGTGAGGTGAATGCTACTTCAGCTATATATGTCGTACCTTGTATACCAAGAAATCGACTACTTTCAGCTCTTCTTTGCATTCTTTATTTTACGCACGGTCATCACAATTCGTTGTCGCTCACCTTCAACCTCTGCAAATTTGAGGCTTATCTCGGAATATCGCTCTTGCATATGCTTCAATTCGCTTTCCATAGATTTGTTTCTTTCCTTCAATGCTGTTAGTTCCACAACCAAATCATCCTGGCTATCGTCTTTATGGACAATACAGACATTTTGTTCTTTAACAGATAAACTGTAATCGTCATTTCTGAAGATAAGAAATCAATGAAAGCAGTTTATCACGTGATATAATGACGATTACAATAGTTAAGCTCTATATCTCCAAGTCTTACCTTTCCTTTAAGTTCTCATCTGATATAATGACATTCGATTCAATTGCCTCCTTAGTATCTTTAACTACCTGCAATTTTACCATTTTGAAACAAAATATATAATTCCGAACAAGAATACAAGTTCAGTAAGGAAGAAACGGACTACAAACCGAAACAAGCGATACACTTGAGAATATTGTTATAATGAAACAACTGTTAAGGTACTAGAATGCCATCATAAGTTAATGTTATGGCAAGAACATAAGTTCAGTAATAACAGTTCAAATTGTTGTTCATTGATGTAATAGTTTCCCTTAAATTTTATCTTAATTCCTTTTTCTTCTCAATCATGGTACAATGTTTCTGACCTTTTGAAGTTCGTACTCATAAAAGCTGGTGCTGTGCTTGTTGAGTTCTTCTACTCGGCTTTCTAACTTATCAATTTTCTTCTGAAGTTCCTTCTCCTTTTCCAGGAAAATATTTGTGGATGTTTCTAGGTAAGTTTCTTTTAACTTTATTTGTCCCTGCCATGAGAAAAAGATATCACTATGAGCAAAATATTTCCTTAACTGCACACCATTAAGGAAGAAAAACTAAGGGAAAAATTGATCTTAGTAGGGGAACGAGGAATATTCTGACAAAGATTGCGGCTTGATCATGAATCGTTGTTTGTTAGGCATCTGGAATTTGCAGCAAAGAAACTAAACAAGCTTGAATAAGAAAAGCATTCTATTATTGGAATTGTATCACTCATCTTGATTGCACTTACATTTATAGCTCTCTAATAACAGACTCTAACAGCCTAACAACCTGAAACAAATTCCTAACAACTTCACGTGATGATTAACCAATCCATCACCATTTATTAGCTCACATGCATGACATGCACTAGTACATTGATTCACATGCATTAGCATATCTCAACATTCTCTCCACTTATTTTTTTCTCCTCCTCTTTAACACGAGAGAACCCTCAACTTCCTACGAAACTGCTCAAACGCAGGTTTAGTCAATGGCTTGGTGAGCCCATCTGAAATTTGGAATTCAGCAGGAACGTAGCTAACCTGAAGTGCACCGGCTGTAATTTTCTCGCAAATGAAATGAACATCAAGTTCAACATGTTTGGACTGAGCATGATAAATCGGGTTCAC